ACTTCAGAAGTAAAAAAAAACTTAAAGGTTCATAAAAGTTTACTCTAAAAATCTGCATGCACAAACAAAATTTATAAAACCATTACATATTTTTTTTTATAGCCGTTTATTATCATTTTGTTTTGACTGGCAGATAAAACGCGACCTTCAACATGTAATATTCGATAGGCCATTTTGACACCACATAAACATAGAAGGCGACAAAACACCTTAACTTATAAGATTAACTATAAAATATCACCTAAATATTTTCTGTATATCGCATAGAAATACGCCAAATATCAAATCTAATTATAGATTGCAGCGATCTAAAAATGTAAAGCAATAAATCCGAACCTACCTTCAGCTAGACGGCGCCATATTTCTTGCCCTGACAGCGGATCGAGAGCGGAAAGCGAACTAGTTCCAGTCCTACTCCGCATCACAGCTGAACAAGAGAGCGCGTATGAGCGTTTCAACGCCCTAGCTTCTTACGCCCTGATAAAATCTCATTGGGAAATCTAGTGATAGTTTGTATCAAACTGATGCCATGATAGTTATACCATATTATCATACTATAGCAAGTACCAGTACTTGGTGGATCATCCCCCCAAAATTATTGTTAAAGCCTATACAAACTGCAGAGAGGCCTTCATTAGGGAGTATCGGACTGATGCTACAATGACGATAGTGGTGCAAACAAAACTAGCCATAGGCTTAATATACAAATGTACATGCCAACATCTCTACACATGTATCTCACTTTTCTCAGTTGTAACTTCATGGCTACAACTTGGACCTGGCTGTGGCATACAAAGTAATCTATGAGAATTTACCTACATTTGGGTTTGAATAATAATGACAAACTGTGCACTTTTAACAAGCGACTCATTTTCACATTTCATTTATCGTACACTCCCTGTTTTATAGTTTTAGGGTCTTTTAGGATAACCCATTGACTGTCTTGTAATGTTAGCAATGTTGATGAACACAGTAGAGTAAAGATTGTCTTTATGAATAAAGCTCTTACCACCTTTCCAAACAGATTGTCCAATTTAAGTTAGAGTTGATCATCACAGGGTTATCCTGACTAAAGAAGGAACATTAATACATTAGGGACTTTAAGCAAAATCGGTGGTCATGGATGCATGGATGCATGGAGTCCTTAAGAGAGTTAGTATGTCACTGTGGCCAGTCAAATTTCAACTTTATGCAAGTGGTACCCAAAAAGTGACTACCGGGTTTCTCGTTCATTTGGTTTCGCTGTTAGTTAAAACGCAGGGAAGACTGAATTACTGGTCAAAGGATTTCATTCACAGACTCCATAAACCTGTCCACAGCAAAGTACTGCTCTGTTGCTTTCATATAGGAATGGCCTTCAGTTCCATTTGGTTTCTATTTTGTTTATTAGAAAATAGATCCTGGTAGTCGAAGACGGAATGACCAATAAAAATTTCCCAAACTAACTGAGACATACTGACTCTTTACGTACTTTAAATATTGAAACTCATTTTCTGTTTACTTTTTTTCCGCCTCAAAAATCCTTGAAAGTATTGCAGCTTGTACACAAAATTAAAACATGGAATGTAATTAACCATAATTACTATAATTACAATTTATCTTGCTTGGAACTCGTACTTAAGTCAGGATACCTTCGGGAGTCTTAAAATTTGACTTTTCCGACAATTTTGTGTCCAAGAATTCGGCGCACAAAACTTCACGAGCTAGTACTGCAGAGGGGTAAACTTGGTAGACTGTAGTGTTTTATGTATTGAGCGGAATTCTAAAAGAGTGCTTTTATAAAAAGAAGGAGAATAACAAAAAGACAGATTTTGCTCATTTAAACGATTCAGTATCTCGCTGGCAAACTTCAAATTGCAAACTCTGCTCAATACATGACACACAAGAGGGTTTGGCCGATCGTTTATTTATAAAATTACAGAGCGCTGCCTTCTATTCT